CGGCGAACGGCGCGAAACCGCCGCCCTGCCGATTACTTTTAGCATTTTTTCAGCCGCTGTTTAGCGGAAAAATCCGCCGGCGGCCGTCGGCCTGACTCCGGGCACCATCGGTGGACCACCTGTTTGTGGTCGTGGGAACGCAGGACAACGGCATGTGGATCATGCAGGACGAAGGAGCACGACATCCGGACAAACACATAATACCTGCTCCGGTGCCCCCTCCCGCATTTCCACCCGAGCAGGACAGGGGCACCGGGGGGGTTCGGTCCGCCTAGAGCAATTGCAGTAGCCAGTTCGCGGCTACACCAGGTCCGGGTCGAGCGAGTTCGGTCAGCGACGTCGACGTGCAAGCGGATCAGGCCGGACCGGTGGTTCTGTTTAGTACGTGAGGAACACAGCGACGAGCGGTGGGCTACCTGAAGGTCGTGTTGGGGGAACAGCACCACGCGGCAGGAGAAAGCAAACGAAGAAGCACCAGCACCAGTCCATCGTCTGCTCAAAACAACACTTTTATACCTGTTCCGGCGCCCCCACCTGGGTCGCGCCTCCCCTCTCCTTATCAACAGGTGGGGGACGCCGGCGCCGGTATCGTTACGGAAAAGTTGTTTTCCACCAGGAAGGGCGAGGCGCCCGAACTGGACGGCCCGCAGGAACCACCGTTGCTGGTCGTTCGCAGTTGGACGCTGAAACCCGATCGGCCTCGGGGTCCACCAGGTCCGGGTCGGGAAGGCTCGCGCGATATCGTGGTAGAGCGAGCGGCGCGGGACGTGAAGGCTCTGGCTAGTGCACGTGGGCCCGGGCGAGAAGCGGAAAAGAAGACCCCAAGTCCATGCCGGACGCCCCCGCCACCTGCCCAGGCGGTGGCTGGTATGGTCGCGCGAGGTGGGCGGGGAACGTCCCGGCGCTGCTTTTTCCCTCGCGGTGGCAGTGTCGCCCGTGCTCCCGGTTGTCTGGTGGCGCTGCTGCTGCGTCGGCTGGTTGGTGTTGGCGCCCGGCAGTCGCGTGGGGGGCTCCTTCCGCTGCTTTGCTCTTAGCACGGTATGGCGGTCCTCCACCTGTTGTGTCCCGGTTCGGTTTGCTTCTGCTGTCCCTCCGTTCCGTTCGAAAGCAACGCCATACCGTCGTAAGATCACTCCCGTCTCGGCGATGCAACAGGACCGTGGAGGCGGCCGAGCGAAATCCCTCGAACTCCAGCTTCCGTCTCCAGCGTCGTGTGCTTGTGGGAGGTCGGAGGAGAGCTTCGTAGGTCGGGTCGCGGGGAACGTATAGTGGACGGGGCGGAGCGGCAGGTACTGAGGGAAATTGGGGCTGCAACCGGCGTCAATCCTCCTGCGCCCATGCTGTTTTGAGAAGTTCGGACAGGGAAACACCGGAGGGAAATGAGCATGAGAGACCAAGCAAATCGCACGCGGAGATAAACTAACAACATCACATAGCAGCAAAGTACTAGAATACCGTGCCGGACGCCCCCACCCCCCATCTGGGACGGCTGTGTGGGTGCGCGGGGTTGGTGGGGGACGTCCTGGCGCTGCTTTTTCGCAAACGCTGACGTTTCTCGCTGCTGAGGATG